GGAAGTGGCCTGCCTGCGGCTGCGCTGGGTCTTTCCCAAGAAGCTTCCGGTAGGCCCCGGTAGGCTGAGGCCCAGTCCAATACGAATCAGGCCCAGGGCCTGTGGTGGTTACTTGGGCCCAACTGCCATCGGCCTGTGTTTGGCCCATACCCCGTATCCAGCCCAGGGCCTGCCTTCCATACATGCAAACAGGCAGCCTGGGCCTCGGTGCTTGAGCCACATGTCTTGCCCCACGTAGGTTGACGAGGGGCAGCTTGAGCCACGTGTCTTGCCCCACGTCCGCGGCGACGCTGACGTGGCAGCCCCGTTAGATCTGGGATTGGCAGGGAAGCGTGGGAGTTCGTCGGCGCGGATTTCGAGGCGGTTCAGAGGTGCAGATGGCTTCGATGCGAGATAAGCAGCGAGGAGCCGCCCAGTGGCTCTCATCTATTCGATATCATTTACAGGTGATGGTGGATCAACTGCGATCACAATTGGGAGTTCGATTCCAAGCTGGTGGGGGGCAGCTTCAGCGAACCCGCCGTTTCAGGAAGGGATGACGAACATGTTGCAGGTCATCTGGGAGTTGGAGGATGCTCCCATAGATGGTCATCAGGAGGAGGCTCTGACGCGGTGCTGCTATGACATCTTCGAGGAGGGGCAGGATGTGTACGCAGCGCTGGAGGAGGAGTGGTACCTGCACTTAGAGACGGAAGATGAGGATAACACTGACGCAAGCATCATCACCTGTGACGAGCTTGAGGAGGGCCGAGCCTGTGTGGATGACGTCCTTGCTATTGACAAACACGTCAACAATAACAACCAAAGCGTGCAGGCCTGTGGAGCAAACATGGGGATCGTGAGCATGGGCGCGCGCGGCAATAGCGACGACAACAACGACAACAACAACAACGACAACAACAACAACAATGGCAACCACGAAGCAGAGATCGTGGGCGCCTGCAACACCGCGACTGTTGCGCGTGACACAGATACAAGCGTGGAAATTGTGAGTTCGTGCACGCCAGATTGCAATAACAATGATAACAACAATAGCAGCAACAAAAATAACATCAACGATACTAACAATGATGGTTCCCCCTTCTTTCCTCCACTGTCCATTCTCCTTTGCGATCGTGTCGACGACCCGGGGGGAGGGCAAGAGGGCTGTTTGAATGGTTCGTTCAGCATAATGGATGGGTATGGGGGAGAGCTAGGGGTGGGATGGGTGCGCGAGGGGGTGGGATAGATATTGAATTGTTTTGCCACATCTGTTCCCTTCTCGTCCCCGGTGTCCTCTCTCCTTTGCAATCGTGTTGATGACCCGGGGGGAGGGCGAGAGCTCTGTTTGAATGGTTGGCCATGTGCCAACAGTGTACGACTCATTAGGGCCTGCAAACGTGATGTCTGGTTTCTTGTCAGGTGGCGCGGAAGGAAGTGCCAGGGGAAGCGGCGCTACGGAGTTTTATGTGTGTGATTCATTTGGGTTCCACCACTTGGCTATTAGGTTTTAGCTTTTAGGGAGGCCTGCTCTAACAGCCCCTTCTGCTCATGGTGCGGTATACTTTTGGGTGGTGGATGAGTAATTCAGGGCAGGGTATCCCCTCTATTGAGGGTAATCACCAGAGAGGAACTCATGCAGACCGCTCCTCAAGGTGTAACAGTGGGGATATGATCTTATAGAGGATGGGCAACCGATCCCTCGCTTGAGAGCAATCAACGCTGCTCATTAGGTTAATGTTGTGTGCCTGCGTGTTGGTGCATGTACTTTTCTCGCATACATTAGGATGGACACGTGGCATGTTCACATGACTTTTGGATGTTCATAGGGACGCTGGACCCGTTTTCCAGCAGGTGCTGCTCCCCACCAATAGATGGAGCCTTGACGAGCATGATGCCGAAACCAAACTCGATACTGCAGCTTCGGTTTCGGAGGACGTCCTCTGCCTGTTGGTCTTGGAACTGGCAGTTCTCGGTGGTCCATGATGTCATCAATGTCCACCTCTCCGTCCATGGTTGGGGGCAGCATTGAGCGACGAGAAGGAAACTGGTCAGTTCCTTTAAAAGGTGCAAGCTTGGAGGCGTGAAAGACGGGATAAGTACGGAGGTGACCAGGGACCCGGATTACATAGGAAGGCCCATCCGGATCAGTCCCAACAATATCTAAGACCTCCCATGGTCTGAAGTATTGAGGCATGAGCTTGCGAGATATCCCATGTTCCTGTCCCAGTTTTGAGGACTTAACCCAAACTCTGTCCCCTACCTGAAATGTAGACAGTCGGCGGTGTTTGTTTTTGGACTCTATCATTGCCGCTTGCGCCTTCTGCATTTGTTCCACTGCCTGCTGCATCTTCTGTTCATATTGATAAACGAATTCTAACGTTATCGGTGCAGTCGGCTGGTTCTCAGGTAATAGAAAATCTAGGGGCAGTCTAGGTTTGAAAGTCAATAGTAAGCTGTTAGGGCTGACACCACAGCGTTGTTATACAGACTGGCGATGAGAGCAAGCTTCTCATCCCAGTCCACCTGATTGGGCTTGATGTAATGCCGCAACAGGTGTTGGACAACGCGGTTCAGTTGCTCGGCTTGGCCATTGGCCTCTGGGTGATTCCCAAAAGTCGTCTGCAACTGCGTTCCCTGTTCTGCAGCGGCAGCCTTCCACAACTCACTAGTGAATCTGACATCCTTGTCACTCACAATTGTCTTAGGCAAAATCCCGAACCCAGTTCTCTTTAAACAATCTGATTACAAACTCGGTCTTCGCTGTCTCCGGCATGGCAATTAACCTAGCGTACTTCCTAAATCTATCCACGATAACGAAGATGTGTCTCATTCCGCTCATCCTTGTCACTGACAATTGTCTTAGGCAAAATCCCGAACCCAGTTCTCTTTAAACAATCTGATTACAAACTCGATCTTCGCTGTCTCCGGCATGGCAATTAACCTAGCGTACTTACTAAATCTATCCACGATAACGAAGATGTGTCTCATTCCGCTCTTGCTTGTAACCAGCGTGTCCATGAAGTCCATGGATGGGCTCGCACCAGGCCTTTCCGGAATCCGAAGAGGCTTGAGGAGCCCAAGAGGCGCCTGTGTACGGGGCTTGTCTCTCTGACAGACCTGACAAGTCTCCACGTACAGCTTGGCATCTCTCATCATCGTGGGCCACCAGAACCGCTGCAAAGCCAAAATGTCCGGTGGCATCATGGCACTCGCCTAGAAACAAACTACGCAAAGACTCTCTATTAGGCACACACAAACGTTTATTACAAAGTGATTTTATCCTTCGCCTCGAGTCTGCGAATGATCTCAGACATAAACTGATCCTCGCGATAGGCTTCCACCATAGAGTGAGTAACATCATCCGCAAGCCCAAACTCAGTGATCAGCGCACCAGAGAAATCTGGTCTACACGATAGCGCATCAGGAACCTTGTACTCGCCCTTGATGTACTGGGGTTCGAAGTCATATTGCTCTATGACTTCAATCCAACGCTATAGAGCGTCGGAGAGCACAAGTTGGGTTCTCATCCACTTCAGGGTCTGGTGATCAGTCCTGGCGTAGAAAAACCTCCCAAGGAGATAGTGCCTCCAATGGGTGAGCGCCTTGTAGATCACATAGAGCTCCTTCTCATACGTGGACTTATCCAACTTCTGAGAGGGCATCTTTTTGGACATGTACTCTACCGGCCTCAACTTTTTCCCCTCCTACTGAGCAAGTACGACGCCTATGCGATATTGGCTAGCATTCGTAGTTACTATAAATGGCTTGTCAGGATCAGGAAGTTTCAAGACCTCATGATGCGTCAACGCATGCTTCAGATGTCTGAAAGCAGCCGCACATCTGTCTGTTCACTCCCATGGAGTGTCAAGGCGAGTCAGGTCAGTCAAAGGGGCGGCAACTACGCTATAGTTTTTCACGAAAGTGCGATAGTAGCCAGTCATCCCTAAGAAAGACCTCGTCTAAGTCACAGACTGAGGACGCGGCCGGTCACGAATGTTGGCCACCTTCGCGTCATCGGGCTTTAATCCCTCCGCGGAAATCTCATGACCCAAGTACAAGACACGGGTGCGGCCAAACTCGCACTTCTCACCGTTGATCTTGAGCTTGTGCTGCCGCAGAAGACTAAGGACTTTGTCCAAGTGCGCAACGTGCTCCTCGACAGTCTTACTAAAAATAAGTATGTCATCGAGGTACACGATGACAAACTTATCCAAGTAGTCATGAAATATCCGATTCATAATGTGCTGAAAGGTGCCAGGAGCATTGCAAAGGCAGAAAGGCATCACCACAAACTCGTACAGACCGTACCTGGTCTGAAAAGCGGTTTTGTGTTGATCCTCGGGCCAGTTTGCAATCTGATGGTACCCAGATTTCAGATCTATCTTACTGAAGTACCGACACCCTTGCACTCTATCTAGCAAATCATTGATGCGCGGTAAGGGCTCTCTGTTCTTAACATTGATGGCATTGAGGTCTCGATCGATGCACATCCCAAGTGTTCCTTCCTTCTTCTTGGGTACAAATAGGACTGGAGACCCATAAGGAGAAACACTCGGCCGGATCCAACACTTCTCTACGAGTTCCTTGAGTTGCCGGCGAAGCTCATCAAGCTCGCCTCGAGACATCTGATAGATCCCTCCCTTTGGAATGTTGGACCTTGAGATAATCTCTATCGCATGGACGACCTCCCTCTCAACAACCCCTGTCGGCTCTTCAAATAGATCAGGGTATTTGGCGACTACTCCCTCTATCTCCAACGGCATTTTCACCGGCTCGCCTGCAGCAGAGACAAACTAGATATATACCCTCCTCCTGATTTTGCTTATAATAATTACAAAACGCGGCGACACACATGCGTCCATAGGACTTGATCAAACTACTAGCTTTGAACTTACGTAATCTGGCGGTCCCTCCACCTCGCAAAAAGTGTGTTTGACCACTTTTTAGTCCCAGTCAAACTGGGGCTGTGCCACAGAGAGGTAGTACATACCTAACAAGATATCCATGGGGAGTTCATCGCTCACTAGGAACGAGACACGGTGTCTCAATTCCCCTCCCGCGTACGGGAAGCAACACTCAACATCCTGGAGGTAGTCGTTGACTACCATGATTTGTTTGTTGGCACAGGTCGACTCCACATATCGACTCAAGCGCTGCACTTGCCCCTGTAAGCGCAGCCTCTCAACGCACGCGCGATTAATGAAGTTCCGTGTCGAGCAGGTGTCATAATAGGCCCCGACCTTGCGGCCGCCAATGACCACCTCGTTGACGAACATCTCACCCTTAGGGGCTTTGACCACCGTCCAAGAAGCTAGCGAGTCTGATCTAGACCACTCTTCCTCTAGCTCCTCTAAGGACTCAAACCCATTCATCGAACAAAGGCTCGATGAGTCTGAACGTGTTTGCGGGACGACGATGGAGTCAGTAGCCTGGCCCATCTCTCGAGATGGTGGGGGTGTGTCCACCACCTCGACGCTAGCAGGAACAACTACTATTCCTATTGGCCCGACGTGTTTCCCGCAGCGGTACCAGAACTTCTAGCCACATTGCTGCCAACGGGAGCAGAGGATCCCAACGCCTGCCCCATCGTAGGCGAGATCTTTTCGATCACCTTCTTATTTGGGCACTTGAATTGGTTATGGCCATATTGGCCACAACGGATACAAGCCTGCCATATGTACCGATCTCTCCACACGTCCTCAGTGAGATCTACTTTCTCCCATGGAGGAGCATTGAGGTCAACTTCACTCCTTGATCAGGAACCTCCACGGCGTCTACCGGTCGCCTTACCTTTCTGTGCTACGGCAACGACTACTACACCTCTTGAAGCCTCTACGCTGCCAGCCTCTGAACCTACTCCCGCCTGGAACTCGTCGTCCAACTCGATGGTAGAACCATCGTTGTCGACGAACATAATAAGGCCCTTCGCCTTCCAGTTGGGAAGCAATGACTTCTTCCTACCATCCGTCATGGGATTATGTCCATGCCCTATATTTGCCTCAAAGTCTAGGGCCTTTTTGTTGAACGAGGGAAAGTTGTGCATATTGATGTTGGCCTCACCTGCCAACCGATTCCTGAGAGGCATGGGAAAGCATCTCAGGTAGGAGATGAGTAAGACCTGGAGGTTATAGCGCACACCAAGGACACATATCAAACTCTCTACAGCGTCAGTGGCCTCTCTTACTGACTTAAACTGCCTCGTGTGAAGTGTCAGGATCGCACCAGTGGCCTTTTGGGCCTCCTAAGGATCGTGCCACCTATCTTCCACCATCTTGAGAAAGTACTCCAATTTCTTGTGAGCTGCCCGAGCGTGGAAGTCGTGACCGTATCCGTGCAGCTGCACTAAACCACTCAACCATCTTGTTGCACTACCCTCTAGGTAGGATGCACCCACAAACACTTCCTCTTGCGGCAAGGTAAGTTCGCACTTGACATAGACCGGCACTGCCCTCAACCAAGTGTCGAGGTCTTCGCCCCTCTTATCCCCTGTAAAGGGTTTCGGAGCGGCGATGGCCGTCTTCGATACCCACTGACTTTGTCCCGGTCCCTGCATCACTCCGGGTTGTGGACCCTGTGACACAGGCTGCTGCACTGACTGTTGGAGCTGTGTACCTTGCGGCTGTATAGGCTGCGAGACAGCAGGCCGCACACTTACGACAACCTGCAACGGAAGTAGGGTAAACACTGTCTCAACAGGAACCTCTAAACTAGGACCTGCTGAGACCCTGCCTGTTAAAGGCATACCCAGGGAGACAGGCTGAACCGATGCTGGAGCGGTATTTGGGGATACACCTAACAGGAGGATGTACAACGGGCCAAACACCAGGCCCGGACAATGATGGTGCCGCCTACGCTCGTCCCACCAAGACGGTCAGACTCTGTTGGATGTCCTGTAAGATTGTCGTCTGCTGGTCTTGCATCTCTGCTACACCTAACAAGGCCGACCTCAGGGTCCTCACCTGATCATCCAACTCCGCTCGGTCCATCTCCTCTAACTTACTAATGTCCGCTTGTCATCGTTGCAATCTGACTCTTCTTCTATTCATTCTTTCTTTTTCTACCTTAATCTCTCTTAAAGCCTTCTATAGCTGTGTCTCGCGATCAACAGCTCGCTGTATGGCGACCTCCTCGGGAGTCATCACTAATGGCTAGCTTGCCATAACGCTAGTGGACTGACTCTGGGTTTGTGCAACGGTTCACCCTACAGCCCCTGAACTGCTGGTCTGGGAACTCTGCTGCGCAGCAGTTGCCATGACCGCTAAAACAGCGGCTTCGCTTGGGAATGCTCTGCTGGTCTCTGCTGCCCTAGCCCTCCGCTGCTGCTGCTGCCTCTCCCTAAGCTGGCGGAACAAATATTTGTCGCCCTCTGGTCCTAAGGCCAAGTGGGCTATTGGGCATCTAGCCGATCGCAAGATCCGGTCGTCCTCACTAGTGGTGTCCCTATCGCTCATTTGCTACAAACTGCATACCATCTACACTAGGACACACAATGGATGCCTACCGCAGCAACATGTACAGACCGATATAAATAATCGGCGGCTATATTAGAGACTATACATTTGAGTCCAACAGGTAAGTTCAGGTTCCCTACAAATAAAACTGTTTTTAGTTTGACTAGTTCTCGAACAAAATGCACAATGAACAAGAAACAGTTCTAATGTGTTGTCTGTCAAATGTTAATGGTTGTACATCTAACTAATCAAAACATAAAAATAGAATCATTTATGTGGATTGAGACATTATGAAAATTTTCCCGAACTTATCACCTGAAATCTACCCCTCCCTCAGTTCCTCCTGAATGTCACTTTAGCGACCTTGAGCCATCTAGAGAGCAGTGTGTGTCTAAAGGTGTGCAATCGGCCCACCCCTGTGGGCCGAGTCTTGCTGAGCTGGCCAGCTCTAGCACATTGTTTATCGTCACGTTGTCAGGCGGCCGCAAGTAGTCCGCCGCCTGAAAACGGCAGTTTTGGGACTTAGGCTCAGGGATAAGTCTGTGTTTTGACGGTACACTGGAC